ATCAACTTTCCTACTTGGTCCCTAGCTGACAGTTGTCCCTCTTACTGAAAGGTGTCCCACTGTCTGGACCCTAGCAACAGGACTATTATGTTATTTTCAATCTCTTTGGAATGAAGATCACCTCAAGACAGATACCGTGTCTTATGAGCTTGATTCAGTAAATATACTTTCAATGCCAGGATCTTTAAGAAATACACATAAAACAGCAAAATCTAGTTCCAAGTCTTAGGGATTAGATCTAGTATAGATACATAAGTGACAGTCTGCAATAGGAGTGTCATGATTTATCTTGAATTCTCTCACTTCTTGATCTTATCTATCAACTATCTGGTGTGTGAGAAGATATTTATTGAAAACAACTAACTAAATGTTTATGGGCTGTCTTTTGAAAGTAACTAGATGATTTTATCAAAGGAATAACAAAAGTTTCAGAAGGTTAGGCTAGAAAATCAACCAGCTCCTCAAATACAGGAAATAAAATGCCATAAGCAAATATGCCACATTTTCAACTAATTAAGAAAACAGAGCAAAAAAAAAATAGTTGACTACAGTTACTCTCTGTTCTGGAAATCCTACTTCTAGGTAAAAAATGTCCACACAAAACCTGTACATAGATATTTATTGTAGCATCTTTCATAATAGCTAAAGACACCAACTGAAGTGTCTGTTGACTGCTAAATGAATAAACAAAAGTGTACTGTATTCATATGATGGAATATTGCTCAACCATAAAACACAATGAATTACTGACATATAGACCAACATAGATGAATCTTGAAAATATTATACTAAGTGACAGTAAGCAGGTACAAAAGGCCACACAGTCTGCAATCATATTTATATAAAATGCCCAGATTATATAAATGCATAGCTATAGAAAGTAGATTAGTGGTTGGCAGGGGTGAGGAAGTGAGATAAATTTATTCTGGAATGAGAATGCTAATGATGAGTAACATTGTAAATTATACTAAAACCAAATGAACGTCTATAAAAGGTGGATTTTATGATATATAAATTATATTTTAATTTAAAACTAATTTTAAAAATCATGTTTGGAGCATGCACCTTTAATTCCAGCACTAGGGTGGTAGAAACGGAAATTTCCTGGGATATGGAGCAAGTTCAAGGCTTGAGCAATAACAACAACAACAACAACAACAAACAACAACAAAACATGTTAAAGGCATGATGGTGCACACCTTTAATCCTAGCACTTGGAAAGCAGAGGTTGGAGGATCTCTGTGAGACAGAGGCCAACCTGGCCTACATAGTGAGTTTCAGACCAGCTGGGGCTACTACAGGGAGACCATGTCTCCAAAAGACAAAAACAAAACAAAACAAACAAACAAAAAACAAGGGCTAAGGATGTAGCTCAATAGTAGAGCACTTGCCTAGCATGCATAAGGCTCTAGGCTTAATCACTGTACTTCAGTAATAATAATAATAATAATAATAATAATGATAATAAAAAGTAATGATTTTAAAAAATTCTCTTAGATTCTGATTAAAGACAGCACCAACCCCTCTAATTTCCCTATGTGAACTCCCATATAGGTAGAACATTCTAGAAATGTTGATTTATTTTATTTTCATTTTTATTGTTTTATTTTATGTGTGTGAGTATATTGCCTGCATGTGTCATGCAGTGCCCGTGGAGATCAGAAGAAGGCATTGGATCTCCCGGAAGTTTAGTTATAGATGGTTGTTAGCCACCATGTGGGTGCTGGGAATTGAACCCAGTTCCTCTGCAAGAGCAGCCAGTGCTTTTTAACTGCTGAGCCATTTCTCCAGTCCTAGAAGTTGATTTTTAGGAGCTGTCTTAGATTTATGTTGCTATGATAACACTCTGACAGAAACCAACTTGGGGAGAAAAGGGTTTACTTGGCTTATAGCTCACAATCCAGGAAAACCAAGACAGGAATTCAAGTGGGGTCTTTGAAGCAGGAACTGAAGCAGAAACTGTGGTGGAACATTGCTTATTTGCCTGCTTCCTTCTGGCTTTAGCTCAACCAGCATTCTTATATAACCCAGTCCCAGATACCCTGGAGTGGCAGTGTCCACAGAAGGCTAGGCTCTACTCCCTCAATTAGAAATTAAGAAAATGTCTTATAAGTCAGGCCCACAGGTCAGTCTAATGGAGAAAATTCCTCAACTGAGGTTCCCTTATCCCAGGTGACACTAGTTTGTGTCAAGTTGACAAAAACTAACCAGCCTAGAAGCTGACAAGTATCCCCTTTTACCAGTCTCCAAACACTGCAAGAGAGACAATACTGCTTTGAGTTGTTGACAGTCTTAGAAGGGCTAATGCTACACTTCACCTTTTCTTGTTATTTCTAGAAAAACAGCATTTTGTGGATCTCATCCAGGGATTTTCAAATTATGATCCTAATACGTTTGTCCAGAAGTAACAGGTTTCCAAGGAATTGGTACTTTTAGGGGTGAATCTCAGAAAACCTCTGCCAAATGTATAACCAAAGTTCTTGTAGACCCATGCAATGTGATGGGCCTTTAATCTCTAATGAAAACTGTAACCCTAATGAAAACTGTAACCCTATGTACAGCTTTACTATTCGTATCTCTCGATATGCTGGACATTGTCTACTATGCAGTTTAAGGAAAAGTGTTCTGAGGCTAAAAAGCATTCTAATATCATTATCCTATCCAACATTCACTTGGGGACCATGTCAGCCAAACTCAGAAGTTTGGTGACTCACCATTCCCAATGAGATGGGTGCAATGCATAAGGCAGAATCTCAGCATGAGAAGAATGAGCACAAACTATCTGGATACAAAATGGGAAAACTAACCCCATCTTGTTCTAGTTGACTTTTACTTTACCATGAGTTTTTGCCCAGCCTTTCCCACTGCAGCCAGGCAGGCAGGGCATCACACATAGGCAATTTCAGGGAGTACATCCGGGTAGCACGTCCTCCCTCCAGCTGTACCTGTATCTCTATGGAGCCCATTGTTCTGACAATTCTGGTAACTTGTTTTTTCTTAACAGAAACATTTTGTTAGCTGAAAACCTCTTTGTTAATTGACCTACCCTTGGTCTGGTGTAGATATGGTGATCTGATGTAACTATGGTTATTGGCTTTGACATTGGCATGATATAATTGTAGTTTTAAGCTTTATAAACACTGCCCTGCTTCTCTTCAGGGTCAAAAATTCTTTCAGGGCATTAGCTCCCTTTCAAACAGCTGGCTACTAATAAAGGACTCCTAGTTTAATGATTACTATATGGTGTTCCTCTGTGCCTCTTGTTCAGTATTATAGATAAGCCACAGAGGAAGGACTGCCTGTAAACTAGGCAGTGCTAGGCTAGGTTCCTGAACATGTCCACCACCACTGATTTCCCAGTGAATAAGAGGGTCTCAGAAACAAGATGGACTTCCCTTAAGTGTGAGCTTCTTTTGAAACCGAGGAGCTTAGTGAATAGCTTTTCAAGGCCTGTCTAGGCTCAGCTTTACATGAGCCTAGATTTGGATGACTTTCTACCACTCAATCTTTTCTTCTTATTTTGATATACTTAAATCTTCTTCTATGAACATATATTACTATATGCCAAAGGTGTCTAGTGAAATTTTTAGCTTATATGCTAAAAATATTAGACATATTAGCATATAAGCTAAAAATCCATTAATAATGCCAGAAAGAGTTAATTTTGCTCTACAAAGTAGACCTCCACCAAAATGAGTGGGGGATTGGTAGATAAATAGTCCTGTCTTGTCAACTTTCAGGTATGATAAAACTTCCTATGTAATGACCCCAAATGGAGTCCCCCAAACTATAATAGCCAAAGTAACTTCATTTTCTTCGTTTTGTGTAAAGCAACCACTTTAAACTTCAACGGCTAAAAAAACAACCAGCTTCAAGGTTAAGCACTTGAACTTACTTGCTTCCCCTTAGAAGAGTGCTTTCTTTTGGAGTGACTGATCTTGGTCATCTCCTAGACACTACAGCTGTGCTTCTTGCCTAGCCAAGAAGCCTAAATAACCAGAGTAATCACAAAGTGCCTTACTGTCAGGGTCTCTATACCGCTGTTTAAGAAAGACTAACAAAAGCTTGTTTTGACTTCTGTAGTTTGCTTATCTGTGAACTTAGGCCATCCTGACCCTACTCAGGACCACCTGGTATTACTCATGTGTGGTAAAATCCCTATAGTATTTGTGGTTTTTGCCTTTATAAAACAAGTTTCACCCTCGCCTGGGGCTGTGGGTCCTAAATCTGACCAAGGGACCACAGATGGCTATAGCCCTAATAAATTTGAGGAATTAAAATTTAACTTGGGTCTAATGGTCTTTTCCCAGTAGTTTCAAACTACATAACACCTAGTTCCTTAGTAGAGCTGAGCCTAGCTCCCATAGTAAGGACCTGCTCAATAATGCACCCCAGTCAGGCATGTTCGTACATGTCTATAATCCCAGCAGCTAGGAAGATGAGGAAAGTGGATAATGAATTTGAGGCTAATTTGTAGTATAGCAAAACTCTGTCAGAAGAGGAGAAGGAGAAGAAGAAAGAGGAGGAGAAGCAGGAGGAACAGAAGGAGGCGGAATAGGAACAGGAAGAGTAGGAGGACAGGGAAGGAGGAGAAGGAGGAGGAGGAGGAGAAGGGTGGTAGACATATTACATTGTTTAGTTCTCTGTTCCTCTAACTGCACATTTGTTGACCATATCCCAAATAATCTGGTAGAGTTAAACTCTATTTAAAGGCCTGCTTCTGGAGTATATGCCATACTAGAAAGGAATTTTGTAATGTTTACTTAAAACAACATTTTAAAAAATAACCTACAGTGGTTCTATAGAAAAGATTTATCATAGAGTTCCAGATTTGGTCAGACCAACAACTGGGAAACACCAAACAATATACCAGATTTATACTACATTTAAACACAGTAAAAAGCTTTATTAAAAGAAATGAATATGTAGTCATTTGCAAGACGTAAAGGAGTTCATGTGTGCTTCTAAAATCTATGATCAAATGAACACAAGAGACTTACTTATAAAAGGCCTGGTTCTCTACCCCACATTTCCACAGGTGTTTGCAGGCAGCTGGTGTTGAAGTATGGAATGCCAAAGTGGCTCTTTTCTAATACAAAATAACCAGAAATGGCATGATTAAAAACATGTAACTTGCCTTCTAACATACTTTTTTTGTCTATGTGTGTTGGAAGAGGGTGAAGGTTGTGTGGGTTTATGTGGTGTGTGTGTGTGTGTGTGTGTGTGTGTGTGTGTGTATGTTCCTGTATGTGTGTATGGAGACCAGAGGTTGATATTGATTGTCTTCCTCTCTCACTCTCTACCTTATTTTTTGAAACTAGTTCTCTCACTGAACCTAGAGCTCACCATTTCAGCTAAAATGCCTGGCCAGCAAGATCTAGGGAACCCCCTCCTCCACATAGGGATGGGGGTTTGGGTATTGTGTTGGTTCTGGGTATCCAAACTCATATTGTCATACTTGCATACAAATACTTTACCTACTGAGCCTTCTCCCTACCCTCTTCACCCTTACTCCCATTACTGTGCTTATTAAAGTATTCAAACAGTTTGACCTTTCCTTCACCCATCACAGACACCACTAATATACTTAAACACTCTTTCTGACAAAAGTTGATTTATAATCCTTCTTAATACTCCAGGCGAGGCATCACTTATCTTTCTGTCACACTGGGGTTAATATGAAAAGTCACTTTTCATATTTCAATATCTAGCAGTTGGGTTCACGGCAAAGGTCAAGAAAATGAGCAAATGTCAGACCTAGCTTTCAGGCTAAACATTTTCATAATCACCTTCCACCAACCGCATTCCCTAGTGAACTCACAATCTATATTTGGTGACTGCTGTATTTAAAATATCTTGGGCATACAGACTGTTGTTATAATATTATATCCATTGCTAATTGATATCTAGTTTTATAAGTATTCCTCATTTTTCATCTACCTGTATTTGGTACAAAGAATTATGGAAGGTGTTCATGTCTTATTCTTAATGAATAAAGCTTATTCCAGTATGGATAGCCAGCATGGCTCACTCTCTTTATTCTTAAGTATGGATTCCCACTAATTTGTCTAGCTCTATAATCTTTCAACAAACAGCTTCTATTATCACCATGCTTCAAAGTCACTGTCTTTGTGGGCTAACATACTAAAAGGCTATTTTACTCTTGGATTGCTCTCATGCACATACACTTACACATGCACACAACAATGACAGGAAGTTAGAAAACCAGTATCTGACCTCCTCATGGGTACCAATAAAATAAAATGTCTTCCCTTCAAACTTCAATTTGCAGACATCTGACCTAAGAAAGGAAAATCTCTGGATAAGAAGGAAAAAATGGCAGTTAAACAAGGTACCTGGCTTTCCCATGTGAATTTAGATGGCCCCCAAATGCCAACCAAGCTATAACTAAACAAGATATTATATTATCATTGGGGATGGTCTACAGTCAGTGGAAAGTCCAAGTAAATTATACAGCAATTTCCTTTCCAAGAGAATACACATTGGTAGCTAAGAATCATTTATTTCATATTTTACAGTTAGGCTATATCTTCTATGTAAAATGCTCTAGAGTGTAAGCTCCAGTATAAGCATTAGCAACTAAAACATCAATTGGTCAGCTCACTTTGCAAGGTCAGGAGGCGTAGTTACTGCATACTCATTTGGAATCATATGGACTGAAGGTGTCTGACATCCTTATCCTTTTCCATTCGCTTCCAAGAAGATCATAAACATATCACAGATTTTTATTCCCAATCTTCCTGTTTACAAAAGAATCTATTTCATTGCACATTGAAATTTTCAAAAAAGTTATGGTCAAAAAGGATGACTTTGATTTTATCTCCAAGAGTTATTTAATTTAAACCTGCCTGGAATGTGTATTGTTGTATATTGCTGGTCACTTCCTTGATAAGTGAAGTGAGAAGTAGGCTCTATTTCTTCTTCTTTTATTTAACTTCTGCTTATATATTTATATGTGCTTCTATATCTTTCTTGGAGGAAAAGAACAGTGAGACTTCATTCACATGTTTTAGTTTAGACAAGGGATTTATGAGACAGTAGCAAAGCTATATTTTTTAAAAAAACCCACAAAACTATGATTTATATGAGAAAATTTGTGTTAGCAACAGGTACATGGTTATTACAAATATATATGTTTAAGAATAAGCTAGGAAATATGGAATCCATATGAACACAGTACCTGCAACACAGGCAAGTATAGAAAACAGAAATAGTTTAGAGATTGTTTACCTGTATTCTTTAAAATGCACCTTTTCTTCCCCCCAAAATGAGATAAAAGTGAAAGAGACATGAAATCAACTTGCATTTAAAGTGAATCAAATTCTAACCAAACTACTCCAATTTTAGTCAAATCATTGCAGGGTTAAAGTAATTTGGAAACTTGAATATACAATATCCTCTAAGACATTTGCTATCCTAAGACAGAATAAGGGCAATTTCCAGGTCACCCATGTTCCCTAAACTAAGTGGAACTCTCTAGGGACCCTATTCTAGAATGGACTGAAGAAAACTTATTGAAACTTCTTTGTGAGGTGCTGAAAATATAAAGAAGAAAATCAGATAACACCACCACATACTGCTTTGTAGTTCACAAATCACACCAGGATTCTAAATCACTCTTCCAGCATTGCATTAGTTTCCCCATCTCCTTCATCTTTTCTAAGGCAGCCACATATGGATGAATATGAAACACAGAATTTAAGTGAGAGTTCTAAGAATGTTAGTTATGGAAGAAGACATGTGGGTAGAGAGAAGAGCTAAATATGTGATTGATTAAAAAACAATGATCCAGAGGGCAAGGATGTTATATAAAATTTGGGGGTATTAGAAAGCTATCACTACAGAAGAGCAGAAGGTATAGAGAATAGATACTAATGTAGTAAAGGTTTAAAAGAAGAACTGGTACTAAGAAGCACAAGATTAAGCTAGGAAATAGGATTTAATAAAGAGGTGATAGAAGAAATCTAGAAGCTTTCAGAACTGTGATACTAGTTCAGGTTAAGTGTAAAGGAATGTTTCTGTCTTAAAGCTGAAGATGCCCACTGGTCCATCACAAACCTCTATAAAGAGGTCAGACAGTCTCAGGGTGTGCACCCCAGCTCCACTATACAGGTGTAATAAGCCTGTGTAGGGCCAGCAAAAAGAAAAGTGTAGCAGGCTGCAGGTAAAAATGAGATTAAGCCAATGCACCTGTAATGTTCAGCTTTCTTCAATCTTTAGGAAGGAAAACTATTTTTCTCTTTAAACTGACAGAGTGGGGTAGTATCTACTGTTTACCTTCCCACCCTGTAATTTTACTCCTTTGTTGACACAGCTTAGACATCTTTTTCATGGCATGTGTTCACATAGGTCATTTTCTTCCTAGTCTCTAGGAAGTAGTCTAAATTTGTTGATCCCAGGCCTGGATTGTCCATTCTTCTCAACAAGGCTCAATTTAAGCAGGCACATGTGGTCTAATTCTGTCCAACTAGTGATACAAGAACTTTCCTACAGTGGTGTGCTTGTGGTATTAAAAGATAGTGGGATGGCCTTAAGGCAGTGGGATCTATTGGGGTCATGACTTCTGAAGTAGATTGGTTCCCAAGAGAACAGGTTGTCATAAAAGAGAGAGCCTATCCTCTCTCCAGTCTCTTTCTTGTTTTCCTCTGCACATGTGTGTGCCTGCTTCCTTACCCACTTCTTTTCCATGCTACAGTACCTCCAGGAGACCCTTTCCATATGCCAATGGCATGTTTTCTGGATTTTGCACTCAACAAAATTATGAGTCAAATGATCTTCTTTTTTTTTTTTTTTAATAGAGTACCCAGCTTCAAGTATACTATAGAAAAAACAAAATGTACTAAGACAAGAACATACTCCTTAAGGCTCTCCTTGCCTATCCCAAGTTGTTCCCTTTGGCCTAATCAGTAGTGAGATAACACTGGTGAGGTAACACTTTAGGGCAGAGCTCCTGAGGTCAGGTATAGTGAGATTATGTCTCAGCTTGATAGTTCCATTTCCCCATTAAGGGGAAAATAAGATTGTTTTTTATTTTTCTTTATAGGTGATAAAACTCTATCATGAAGCCACAAGGTATATAAATAGATGTTACCCGTTTTAGTTTCCCTTTTGTTGCTGTGATAGAACAAAAGCAACTTAGGGGAGGAAAGGTTTATTTTAGTTTACAACTTTGGGCCACAGTCCGTCACTGAGGGAAGTCAAGGCAGATGCTCAAGGTAGGAGCATGAATGCAGGCCTGCTTCCTATTGTAACACATTACCTCCAATAAAGGAACTCATTTCACAGCCAAAAAGTACAGCAGGAGCCATGGAGGATGCTGCTGGCTGGCAGGCTTGCAGGCTGGCTTATACTCAGCTAGGTTTCCTATACACTTGCCCAGGGATAGTGCTGCCGAAGAGTGAGCTGTGTCCTCCTGCATCAGTCAGTAGACAACCCCCCGAGAGATGCCCATCAGCCTCCGTTGAGATTCTCTTCCTGGATAATTCTAGGTTGTATCAAGATGCCAGTTAAAGCTAACGAGAACACTACCTGATAGTTCCAGGGAAAAAATTAAAAAGCTTAAGAAAAAGGGGGACAGATATTTTTAAAAAGTTTAGCCAATTTTCCAAAGAAATACTTACCATTTTATCAAATGAATTCTCTTATTTCCCTGGAATACCACAAAACCTGCAGCAGTGAATCCTAAAAATGTTGTTGTGCCTCTTGAATCCTGAAGAAGTAGAAATAAAGTCCTTTTAGGATTGAGAAAAATAAATGATAAATTACACGTTTTTCATCTTGATCATGGGTTGATTCACGACAAGGCCAGTGACTATAGCAATAAAGTAAGTTTCTAAGATGGAACTTCAGTTCCAACCTTGGATAACGCCCAGGTTATGCAGCTTTCTTCATTCAGGAATGGACACCCCACCTCACAGTCTGTTTAATATGAGCAAACTCTTCTTTGTCATGTCAGTTCTCTAATACAATAAAACCGAAAACTTTGAGCCTCTCTGCTAACCTGATTTAACTACACACAGTATAAGTATTACCAGGAAAAGCCTACTCGACTCCGAGCCTAGACCTGGAACTCTAAGCAACTCATGCAGAAATTGAGTGAAGACGAAAAAATAAAAAATAAAAAATAACAGCAAAGCTAAGTCAGCCTAAACAACAGGTAAAGAAAGAGTCAAATTTCTAGATAGAATCTAAGCCACTAAATGAAACAACCTGATTCATGTTATCACTAGAGGTAACTGGATAACACCAAAATGTATCTTTAATATCCTGACTGACAAGAACACTTATTTTAGAATTAGTGCTAATGTCTGGTTGATACATGGTTAAAAATATGGGAAAAAATATTGATTATATGAATAATTTCTGGAAAGTGTGCACAAAGTAGCACCTTAGCAGATTGACAAAAAGAAGGATTACTAGCCTGGGGATATGAATTCAGATCCCAAACCCACAAATAAAAAAAAGGTGGGAGTGGTGGTGCGCACTTGTAATCTCATACTTGGGGGGTAGTTCAGAGATATGTAGATCCCTGAAGCTCAATAGTGAGCCAGTACAGCCAAATCAATAAGCTCTGGGTTCAGTCAGAGATACTGTCTCAGAAAATAAAGGTGGAAACAGATAAAGACATTCAACACTGACCTCAGGGCTCCACTGTAATGGCCCATGTATGCACACCCATACACACACACCAAACAGATGCATGATCCCCCATATACACACACTAAACAAATGCATGCTCACCCATATATACTCACCCCTTACAGAGAGAGAGAGAGAGAGAGAGAGAGAGAGAGAGAGAGAGAGAGAGAGGAGTAAAGGAAAGCCAGATTTCTCAGAAATCTGATTGTGTACCTCAGAGACAGAACACAGGTGACTTTGATAAAAGTCGTCTGTGTTTAACCCTTGTGAAAAATACTGTTGAATAGTATGAGTAAAAGAACAGAGAAAAACAAGTTCTCTCAGTTAATATAATTTAATATTTCTTTAAACTTTTCCTTCAACTTGCCTGGTTTTAAAGACTACATTCTTGTTGGTAAAGACCTGGAAAGTAATTGTGTTGGAACTATTCCCCTCAGTTTCTGAGGGAAATCATCCATTTGACCAATAAATGTATGCATGTTAATTTAGGAAAATATGACTACCATGGTACAATTAGTGGGAAACTGCAGGACCCCAAGGTAGAAAAACAATTGTCAAAACATGTGACCACAGCTTACTTGTATTGTGGTCAGGTTGCATAAATCTCCCAAGTGTGTTCATCCAGGCCTGCCCACCAATCAATTTTCTTTTGGAGAAAATGGTGATTATGTGGTGACATGCTGTGTGATGCAGTTACCTTGCATGGGTGAGGATCTACTCCGTAGGTCTCCAAAGTGTGAGCTTTCAGGAGTAAGTTAAATTCAGCAATCGCTGGGCTCTGACCTCTAAAACAACACAAGACAAGTTTAGGGAGCTCAAGCTAAAAACAGTAGGAACAGCGGGGCGTGGTGGCGCATGCCTTTGATCACAGCACTCAGGAGGCAGAGGCAGGCAGATCTCTGTGAGTTCAAGGCCAGCCTGGTCTACATAGTGAGTGCCATGTCAGCTGGGACTACAGGAAGACCCTGTCTCAAAATGACAAAAAAAAAAAAAAGGGATAGTTTCTTTCATGAATTGAATACTATTTTCTAAACAAATAACAAAAAAAAAGATCCCTACATCAGTAGTACTCAGTAAATCATGATTATTTCTCATCATGCAGAGCACTTTGAAAATGTCACATTTTCTAGATAATTGTTCTAAAATACACTGCTGTATGTTCATATTAGCATTCCGGTGACTGTACAGTTATCAAGTTACCAGTATGGAGGCACTCACAAATGCAACGTGGACACAAAATAAAATAGCACTTCAGGAAGTCCCTGAAACTGATGAGGTTCACAAGGCACCTCCCTCCTACTCAGGTACACTCTTAGACAAGCCAAGCTTCCTGGAAGAAGCAAAGACTAATGGAGTTTCCTGGAAAAGGCACTCTCTAGCCTGTTGTTGCCAATGTGTCTGCAGGTCATGCAGTATGTGCCATGTTTCCAGATTTTGTGAGCTGTCACCCATATTTCTGTAAATAACCCCAATAAAACTCATTGGTTCACCAAGTTGAACTTCGGTAGTATCGTTACTTTGACATGTTGTTGGCTCCCAATCTGGAATAAGTAGAGATTTTTTTTCAAAAAGAGTAAATGAGGTCATGTTCTTGCTCTGGGACTAGGCCAGGATCTCATTTCTTTAGGGTTCCCATTTACCCTGCATAGCTAGTCAGACACTGCCTGCTTGGTTGCTATCTTCCTGCCTTGGGACTAGGCTGATTCTCACTGCTGGACAACTTCCATCTAGCCTAGCTGAGAACCAGTTACTGCTGGTAGGCTCCAGAACACCATCCTGAGTTCAAGACACCCAGTCACTGGGTTGCCATCTTCTGGCTCTGGAACTAGGCCTGGAAAGCTCTGCTCCAGCTCCAGACTAGCCTGGTTGGCTAGCTAAAACCAGTCCACCCTACTTCATCACCATAGTCTTAAATGTGATTGGTCACCTAATACACAAGACCAGCATGGAAACATCCCATCCTCCAATAAAACACCAAAAGTGAGAATCCGAAGCACAGACCCATTAGCTATTTATACTTGATCAATAAGAAACCAAGTTATAACAACAACAAAAGCAGAAATTAATTTCAACTCAACAAATACAAGCTAGAATTTCATATCAGATACATAAGCGACAAAAGAAGCCCATATACCCGGGATATAATGCAAAAACACAAATTTTAAGCATACAGGAAGCAGAAGAATATCAGGCCAATGGCAGTGACCAGATTTTCAGTTTCCTAATATTAAGAAACATATACCAGTACAGATGCAAAAAGCACACAGAACACCAATTAGACAGGACCAGAAGAGAAACTACTCATGGTATATCGCAGTAAAAACACTAAATATACAGAACAGAGTACTGAAAGCTGCAGGAAAAAAATCAAGTTATATACAAATGAAAATTCCATCAGAATCAAAACTGACTGTTAAATGCAAACTATAAAAGCAAGAATAGCATGGAATAATGTATTCCATGATCTAAATGACCATGTATGCCAACACAGACTACTTCACCCAGCAAATCTATCATAATTGAAGGAATAAGAAAAATCTTCCACGATACAAATAGCCTGAAAGAAAGATGTATGTATTCAAGTTTGGGTCTTTGATTGTGTTCCATTCATCTACTTGTCTATTTTTCTGTAAGTAACAAGCTGTTTTTATTACTATAGCTCTGTAATATAATCTGAGATCTGGTATAGTGATCCCCCAGCATTGTTCTTTTTGCCAAAGATTGCTTTGGATAGCCGGAGTCATTTGTGATTCCATATGAATTTTAGGGTGGTTATTTCCAGTTCTGTGAAAAATTTTATGGGTATTTTTATTGGCATTGCACTGAATATGTAGATTGCTTTTGGTAAGACAATCACTTTCACAATAGTAAATACTACCAATCCATGAACATGGTAGATCCTTCCATCTCCTGGTATCTTCCTCTATCTCTTTCTTTAAAGATTTGAAATTTTCATTGTAGAGATCTTTAACTGTAGAAACTGTAGGCCCACATCCCTAAAGAACATAGATGCAAAAACTCGCAACAAACACTAGCAGCAAATCACATATCATCCACCACAATCAACTCTGTTTTAGTCCAGGGACGCAGGGATTTTTCAATATATGTAAGTCAATAAGGGTAAAAAATCTTTTTTTCTTTAACTTTTAAAAAAAATTTATTGAGAATTTCATACATACATATAAGGTGTTTTGACTGAGAATTTCATACATGCATATAAGGTGTTTTGATCAAATCCATGTCCACTCCCTCCTCCAACTCCTCCCATATCTGCCCATCACTTTCTTCTGACAACTTCATGTACTTTCTTTTTCTCTCTCTCTTTCTCTCTCTCTCCTCTCTCTCTCTCTCTCTCTCTCTTCCTTCCCCTCCCTCCCTCCTTCCCTCCCTTCCTTTCTTTCTAAATGGGGCTTTTTGCTACTCTAACATTCGCCCCTCTGAAGAGGTAACCCTAAAATCCTTTTAGGGATAAGAGTTCCCAAATACTTTTGACATTTTTGGCCTTTGGAATGTATGTTGTTGCTAAGAGGCCCAAGGACATTTTGACTTTTAGCCAAGAAACTGGCTACTTTTCTTTGGGGTCTTTTTTATCCTAACTGCCTAGCCAACTCTTACCTTCTACTCTTATCACGTCATCCTTGGAAGTGGTAGGTTACCCAAGTTGCCAATAGGGAATTGGGATGCAGACTGCTCTGGCTTCTTCCATGCTGAACAGGGACGCAGGGTGAGACAATTGGGGTAACAAATCTTATAAATCAATTTAAAGACAAAAATCACATGATCATCTCAATAGATGCAGAAAAGGACTTTGACAAAATCCAACATGCATTCATGATAAAAGTCCTAGAGGGAATTGGACTAGAGGGATCATATCTCAATATAATTAAAGCTATATACAACAAACCCACAGCCAACATCATTCTAAATGGAGAAAAACTGGAAGCATTCTCATTAAAATCAGGAGCCAGACAAGGCTGTCCCCTATTTCTACTCCTTTTCAATATAGTGCTTGAAACTCTTGGTGGAACATTAAGACAAGAGAAGAAATTAAAGGACGAATTAAAGGAGTTTGAGTTAGAAAAGAAGAGGTCAAATCATCACTATTTTCAGATGATAGCATATATATGATATCCCAAAAATTACCCCAGAAAACTATAAATTATCAACACTTTCAGCAAAGTGATGGGTTTCAAAATAAACTTACAAAAATTAGTAGCCTTTCTGTATACCACTAAAAATCAATCAGAGAAAGCATTCATGGAAAACATCCCATTCATAATAACCATCAAGAAAATATTTAGGAAAAAATCTAACCAAAGACATTAAAGACCTCTACAATGAAAATTTGAAATCTTCGAAGAAAGAGGTTAAAGAAGACACAAGGAGATGGAAAGACTCCCATTCTCACGCATTTGTGCAATTAATATTGTGAAAATGACCATCCTACCAAAAGGAATGTACAGATTCAATGCAACACTAGTTACTATTCCCATGACATTTGTCACAGAAATAAAAAAAAAAATCATAAAATTAATATGGAATTGCAAAAGGAACCAAATAGCTAAAGGAATCCAGAACAAAAAGAGAAATGTTGGTGGGATTACCATACAAGATCTCAAACTATAACAGCGCTATACTCATAATAATATCATGGTACTAGGACAAAAACATACATGTAGATCAACAGAACAAAATGGACCCAAACATCAGCCACACAATTTCAGTCACCTGACATTTTATAAAGGTGCCAAGAATACACATTGGAGGAAAGATAGTATCTTCAACAAATGGTGATAAGAAAACTGGATCTACATGTATAGTAGAATGAAATTAGACCCAGATCTATCACATTGTATAAAACCCAGCTACACATGGATCAAAGACCTCTGTGTGAACCTTGAAATGCTGAAACTGTTAGAAAAAAAACATAGGCAGTGCCCTACAAGATTTAGGGGCAGGAAAGAACTTAAAATCAGGCTTTCCTTCACTCAGTTAATAACTTACAAATGGGACCTCATTAAACTAAAAAGCTTATGGACAGCAGAGGAAACTAACAATCAAGTGAAGCAGCAGCCCTCAGAGCGGGGACTATCTTTACCAGCTATACATCTGCCAGACGACTGATATCCAGAATATACAAAGAACTCAAAAAACAAAGAATCAAGAAAAAGTCCAACTAAAAAATGGGCTGTGAAGAGCTTTGACAAGAAGAAATAAAAACACCTTAAAAAGTGTTCAGCATCTTTAACAATTAGGAAAATGAAAGAAAGATTTTTATCTTACCTCAGTCAGAATGCCTAAGATCAAGAGAACAAATGATATCAAATGCTGGGGAGACTGTGGGGAAAGGGGAACCCTAATTCACTTCTGGTGTGATTGCAAGCTGGTGCAGTGTGGAAATCAGTGTGGAGAACTCTTTAAAAACTAAACATAGCTGGGTGAGGTGGTGCACGCCTTTAATCCCAGCACTCTGGAGGCAGAGGCAGGTTCAAGGCCAGCCTGGTCTACATAGTGAGTTCCAGGACAGCTGGGGCTACAGGGAGACCCTGCTTCAAAAAAAAAACCCTAAAAATAAATATACCATATGATCTGGTTATACCAGTTATTAGCATATACCCAAAGGACTTATTTTCTTGCTCAGCAATATTTGTTGCTCTTCTTTTCACAATAGGTAAGAAGAGGAAACAACCTAAATGTCCCTCAACTGATGAGTGGATAGTGATAATGTGGTACATTTACACAATGGAGTTCTACTCAGTGGTAAAGAAAAATGAAATCATGGAAC